TGATTTTGGAAAACATCAAAGACTGCAAATCCTGTCATGCCTTACATCTATTAAAAAAAGACTGAATATCACTGTACAGGTTATTAGTGGCAAAGAACAGGAAGAATTCAAGAAAAGAATAGTGGTGAAACTGAGATGAGTTTAAATCCTTATCCAAAAAACTTCCCAATGTATTGAAGGAAACCATCTGCTGAAATCTGTAATTCTTATTGTTCATGGAGAAGAAATTGAGTTTTTTGGTGAGAAGCTCTGATCGTCTAGCTCCATGTAAGCTCTATTTTCTCCCTGCAAAATAAGAGTAGGGAAGTAGACAATAAGCTGAAATAGCTGATTTGTGAATAAAAATTACTGACACAGGTGTTGTCTCCAGCAGAGGAATTCTGTATAACTTTGAAGAAGGCATCTCATCTCCAGGCTGAGATGCAATTTTTATTCCTAAAGTGCATACTTGTTACACAACTGGTTTACAGACATGAGCAATGCTTTTGTTGCATATTTGACTGACCTCTCTAGTTTTTCTCTGCTCTTCTGTTGTCTGTGAGCTCTGTTGTAGAGGTTATATAGGTATTTCTTTGGTAAAGCCCTTAGATTTTTGCTTTCAGTGGAAAGCTCAAATAGTTAATTAAATCTTACTGATGCTAATGCTGTTGTCTGTTAAACATAAATTATCTGCAAATTTGTCCATTAATTTGCATTTATAGCTCTATTATGTACTACACAGTCATAGATTTTAACTTGTTCATCAGAAATAATATTTTCCACAGAGGCAGTCTCTGTCATCTTAATTTAATTGAATTTATTATGATTTCTGAGTTTCATATTTGCATTTTAGTTGAAGAAGTAAAACTATATTACTGCCTAAAACCAGCTGCAGTGTATATGAAATGTCTCAGATTATTACTTACTATTGAGGTCAACCTTTGCTATGCCTAATACCTGAAAGAAAAAGATAAGGAGTTTCTGAACATTTCCAGAAGAGTAGTCCTAGGTCTTTTAATTAAATCAGTCTGCATTATGTATGTTCTCCAATAACTGCCTGGGAGGGTTTCCACAGGTTAGAATCTGAACTAACAATTTATGGAGGCAAAGAAAGGCAGTGAAGCAGCAGAGAACTCTGTGAAACCACTTGGCAGTGAGCCATCTGTTAAGCAACCGCAACTACGTCAAAGATATCTAAAAATACACCAGTTGGTTTGGGAACATAATGCCCTAACTCCAATAAAAAGGCACTTTGTAAACAATCAAAAATGTGCTTTAAAATAAATTGCATTTATTCATATAGCAATGAAACATAAGTGGTACTGCTCTCATAGATAGTTCTTAGTAAATCCTAAATAATTAAATTGTTTGTCCCTACTTCTCCTTTCTATCTCTTTTCATGTCTCCCCCATGTCCTGACACTTCTGTCATGTCTTGTCTTCCCATTTTGCTTCTCCTGAGTTTCTCCCTCATCTATTTTCTGTCAAAGCTGCCTTGGGCAGTCTTTCTTTGTAGAACCATTGAATGGTTGGCATTCAATGGTTGGGTTTGAAGGGAACATAAAAATCCTCAGGTTCCAACCTCCTTGCTGTTTTCCATCCCACTCACTTCATTCACTTGCCCTCATGCTATTCTCATTTCTCTCCTTCTGAGAATCCTACTGCTTGGATTTCCTGCAATTCTGTCTTTCCACTTTGGATTTCTTTTTCCCACATTCCCTTCTCCTGTCTAAACTACAAACTTTGCCTTTCTTGGCAAACCTCCAAGCTGGACTTTCCACATTTGTCTTTCTCCTGAACTCTAGCTTTTACTTTAAAGTACTTCTGTTTCTGTGGAACCCATGTCCTCCACCTCCCTCCTGTATGGACCTGTTTTCTTTGCACTACCAGCATATCCATCAGAAGCTGGGGATGCTATTTGGTATCATTTCAGTGTTTTATACGGTTTTGCTCCAGTATTTTCCACCTACCTAAGTCGTCAGCCTAAGGTTCAAGAACCAGTGTAAATCTTCAGTTCTGATTAAGGCATCAGTGTGACAGTTCTGAAGGAAATATCATCATTTTTTCCTGCATCTGCCCAAGAGTGTCATCACTGCTGTTGTAAGAGAGCCGAGGGCAACAGCCTTGATTTGTGATTCATCCTGTGCCAACACTATGGCCCCCTGCAGCGTGCAACAGCTGGCTGGTGGTGAGACTACCAACAAAAAAAATGCTCATGGAACCAGGTTGAACAGTCTTAATTCAGACTTGTTAGAGTACTGGTAAAATGTGAAGGTGCTGAGTCACTAATTCCTTAATAGTTTCCATGGAGGCAGGTGTTGGTACCCAACAGTTAACTCCTGAACTGGACGCAGATTAGAAAACCTAAATTTGACATCTCTCTTCCACCCTTCCTTCAAATAAAAAATACTGAAAGAAGTGTGAGAAAACCTGGTCACCAGCACTTTGGTACCTTGTTAGGTGAAATAAAGAATTGTTACAGATTGAGGCATTGCTGATTTCATTCATATATGTATATATATGTATAGCAAATTTAGAGTGTGCTTCCCAGTGTGTTGGTGGTTTCAGTTCCCATTCAGGGCATATGTTAAATCATGTTATTTCAGGACATCCCAGAAGTGGACTATACAGTGGCTAATTTCAAGAGCAGATGTCACTGTAATAGTGGTTTACTTAGCAGCAGCTTTTTTGGTTACATCCATCCAGTCCAGTCAGCTTGAAAACGGGAAATGTTTCCCTGTTTGTAGAAGTTCATCTGCAGTAATAAATATAAGCTTATATATTTTGAAACAACTATTTTTAGAAACTCATGTTGAGGATCGTACTGCTGCCTGGACTTCATGCCCTTTCAGATTTTGTTGCTTAGTCTATACATTTTTAATAATCACATTGCCTGCTAGCACTGACATTTTGTGAAGGTCATTTTTCTTGTGAAGTTGGAGAATGGACTTGAATTTCGTGGAAGGACTCCCTGAGCTGCAGCATCATTGTTCTTAGACTGTCTTGCATCTTGTACTACCTTTGAAGCCTGCTCAGAATTTTAACTAATGATATCTTCAAAGTGTCACTGTGCTCAAGGGCAGAAAATAAATCTCAAAATGCACTTTATATTTAAAAACAGTTTTGAATAGCTTTGAAGCATGGTATTAACTGAAATGAAAAGGCATAGATACAGTCTTGCTATGTATGCACACACAGAGAATTCCATGTTTCACTAACCTTTTCATGGTCAGCAAAGTGTCTCTTCACCATTGCAATGCCTTTATCTTCTATATTATAAAAATCATCAGGTCTATGGATGTCTTTAAAATTTTTTATGTGATTGATGATTTCATACCTCAGCAGGTATCTTAAGGTAATCTCTCTCCATGGAGGAGTTTTATTTTTGTCTACATGATTCCAAGCTCACTTCTTATTTTCCCTGTGTAAAACACAGTCACTGGGTTGTATTCACATGACTTTTCTGTTTCTGCATAGAGGATGGCAGATCCAAAACCCAGCATGCTATGCTTGAAATACAGGAGACTGTGGTGTCAGCTACTAAATTAAAATTGCTTGGTTTTTTATAAGCCAAAGTTCCAGCTTCCCATAACTGAGCACATTACAAGTTTGCTTATTAATAAAGTACTCAAAGATTTACATGGTAGCAGTGTCTGAAGTCTTCTAATACTGATATTAATTTCTAATTAATTAATATTATGATAGTCCTTTAATAATATCAAAAGCTAGTGATCATGTCTGAGAATATGACCATTTGAATATCTGTACTCTTGATGGATAGTTTTTTTTGCTGTTTTTTTTTACTGCTTCATGTAAACACCCTTACATGTAAGCGTCCTTCTTTAGGGGACGCTGTTGGGTTAATTCTGTCGTTTTTCTTCTCTAGGACTTTAGTTTTCTGTTCGTGAACTAAGCTTACAAAAGTACAAGTATGTGATTTATAATTGAATCTTTCCCACAAAATAATTTGCCTGGTTTTTTTCTATATCAAACTGCAAAGAAAATTCAGCTTATTTAGGGTGTCCTTGTACTTAATACGTTCTTTTCTATTTCTGTTTTGATAGTTGTACCATCAAAGCATTGTAGTTTGACTGTGTGCTATACCATGGATTTCACAGTTTTATGACCATTGCTACCAATTTGGTTGTGCTTAGTAAGTTAGAATCTTATTTCAGAGCATGAAGCAATGTAATCCACTGAACAGCAGCTACTGTGGGGGAAACGAAGAGAGAATAGGACTGTAACCTGTCTTTAAGATGTTGTGTCCTAAGTAAAATTAGATATTGAGAGACTGGACAGATTGTGCATTTGAGAAAATTTGTGTTGGGAAGTAAGTTAGGTTGTGTATGATTTTCCATCTGATTCCCTGTTTGGAAAAAGGATAAAAGGACGAGAATTTTCAGACTCTGCTTCCAGACTTCTCAATGCCCACTGTGTATGGACTGCTTATGAATAAAAGCCACCAGCCTGTTTGGAACTGCTGTTTTGCTGACATGATCAAAAGGGAAGGCCTCAGCCTCTGGCCATTATCATTACCATTTTACTATTTTCCTGCCTGCCTGCTACATGGGCTTCCCTTTGCAAATTTTTTTTCTATCTTCTGCGCAGACTGATTCATCCTTTTCATGCCTGGGAAAATCTCAACAGGAAAATGCACGAGATTGATGAAGAAGAGAAGGCAGTTACATTCTTTGCTTATTCTCAAACAGCTTTTCTTTTCTGTTTGAGGTAGTTGTTATTTCTGTGGTGTTGGTTAACACTTTTTATATTTATAGGGTCCTGACTTTTCATAACTTTCTGCAGGAATCTGCTGCTAACAGTCCTTCATCCCAACTCCTTGTCTTTCCCTATTTTACACAACCAAAAGAAAATTCTACAGCATACTTCAGTAGATAATTTAGCAACAGTATTTCTTGGCAGAAAAAAAATGAGGAGATATTCCTACTTAATTTTTAGCTGGTTTTATTTTTGTCTTATCTTTCCACTTGATCACTCAGTTTGCTATTTAATCTTTGATTGCAGGCCACTAAAGAAGTAATAGAGCGAGAAGCCCCGGGGATGGCCCTGGCAATGCTGATGGGATCACTTAATGTTACACCTCTGGGCATGCTCTCTAGGTAAGATTGCTTCCTTCAAAATATGAGGTGAACTCTTTCCATAGGATTACTCATTGCTATCCAATGGCTGTGCACAAATCATTGAAAACTGCCATTGTTACCAAGACTAGAACTCTTAACTTCAGTCAAGGGAGCAAATTAAAATAATGGAAATTGCATTGTCCCATTGAATTCCCTTTGTTGTCTCTATTTTCTGTGCCAGGTTATTTGTAATATTGATATACACTCTTAAAGAGCTGTCTTTTCATTCTAGATCTGTGGTGTTTGGGTGATGAGTTAAGAATTTTTCTGTATGTTGTTCATCAAGTATTAAAATGCTTTGTTAGGTAAAAAAAATCCCTTTGATAAAGACAAATGTTTTGTACTACCCTAGATTTGGAGGAATACTGTTGATTTATCTCTCAAAGGCCCTGGAATACTTGCACAATCTGTGTGGTTTTCTTGAAAGCACACACAATACTTTTGCCAACCATGTAGTTCTTAAGCACTTTTACTTACTTTTACATGCTCTCTTGAGAATTTTTGGCAGCTCCATTTCTCTCTAGAGCCACTAGGTCTGATAATTGACAGCTGAAATCTGAGTTTTCATGCTGTTGGTTTAGTCCTTTTTTGATTATTGTTCAGTTGTACCAGACATTCAGCTTATAATGCTCAAAAAACATTTAAAGCAGAGTAGAAGGGCCAAACACATGACTACTAAAGGCACTGTCTGCCAAACACAATTCCACTATTCCACTTTTTCCCACTGTGGACCGTTCTTATTTCCTTTGTTTTAAGTCTGCCATAAACTGCAACCCACGTATGGGATCTGATGGATTGAGTTTGTACTCTGTAAGCTTAACTACTGTAACAGGAGTAAATGAACACGTTTCTTTAACTTAGGCTCATCTCTGTGCTGCAGTAGAGATTCCTCAGCTGGAATTCTTTCTAAACTAGGGGGTGCATAGTGTGAAAGAGGCAGTAGGAGAAAAGAGAGACTAGGAGTCAAGCAATGCTCAGACTGAAAATAACAATTTAGGCTGGCTTGAGTGTGATATCAAAAGTTCATTTAGTAGCTCAAAGACGATCTCTGTGCTATTTTCTTGTGAGCATTGTGCCAGCTGTCATGGAAATACTTGGTACCCTGCTAAAAAATGGCATGCGACCAATAAATGACATTAATCACTGAGAATTATTTGTACAAGAAGAAATCCAGGGGAGGTGGCTACTCAATAAGCCATGTCTTTGGCTCAGAATTTTTGCTAATGCCATTAATACTTTCTATTCTATCTTCACTTATAGCTCAGGTTTTAATTCAATAAATAGAATGTCATACAGTTTCTCTCAACTGTAACCTTCATATCTTCATGGTTTACTTTTGTCCTTTTACATTTTTCCTATCCTTATATCCTGGGTTTTTCACCTTAGTTTTTGTAAACAGTGGAAGCACTCTTTACAACTTCAATACAAAATTCTGTAATTGTTTCTTTTTTTTTTTTTTTTAATATTTAGCTAAAATGTTGAATAGTCAAACTCTAGTCAACAGAAAACATTCAGCACTTGGGTGCTCAGCCTTACATCACCACCAAATTAATTTCTAAAAGACAAAAAAAAAGTAAAATAAAAGCTTCTGTCTTTGATGGTTGGTTATACTTTTTCTTGAGGGAGAGGGGAAAACTATTAGGAAGAATTATATATTAATTGCATAAATATAGTTTTCACCTGAGAGTAACTTCCTTCTTTGCTTTTCTTGTGTTTAATCTTTAAATAGAAGGGACCAATTTGAATTAATGCAACTTAGTATTTTTACCTGGCCAGGGACATAATGTTTGACACAGTCAATTACACTGCAAACGAACCATGTGTATGAATAAATAGGGACTATATGAAATAATGTATTGGACACAAGTAAACACTAGAATTAAGGGAGCTACACAGATCTCAATAAAGATATATCAAATTAATGTTAGACTCTATCAATCTGTTTTATGTTTTCAAAAAATAACTTCTCCCAAGTTCTTTTTTTGAAAACATGATCAGCAAATGTATTGGAAATTAAATTTACAAAACCTGATAAATCATAAAATTTATCTTAAATGCTTTCCTTTTGTTTTGATAGTGGAGATTGTTGCATGCAAGAATTTCAGTTGTGTTTCTTTCATTTCAGGCCTGTGTGTGGAATCAGAGGGAAAACACTCATAATTAATCTTCCAGGTAGCAAGAAAGGGTCACAGGTAAGAAATGTTCTTACTGATCTGCTAGGAAGGAACTATGATGAGCACTTCTCCTTGTTTCAAATGGTAGAAAGTGACCACTATCACAAATTTTACAAAAGTGAATTGAAATGCATGTTCTTGTAAAGTTACCACACCATCACACTTAGCCAAGGACCATACAATTCAAATCTGATTGAAGGTGCTGTGTGACCAGGACAACATTACATGTAATGCAAGAGAGCACTCGCTTGAGCAGGCAGTGCTAATGAAGAGTCTAATGATCTCTTACTCTTTCCCTTTCTTTTCCAATTAGCTGTACCTTATCTCTGGGCTGTCTCCAACTTCCAAGAAATCATTCTTTTTCACACAGAAGTAAGAGAGGAATGCATAGTATATGGTAGAACTTGCTGGAGCATTTGCAGTTTTGATCAGCAAGAGGGAAGAAAGGGAACGTAATTTTTAAGAGTTTGGGAATATTTCTGAATCTTCTCTATATGGGTATATCAGACTTTACACCCTTTATAAAGTTTGTTTCTTCCTGCATTTTACTCTGTTTGGATGGAGAACTTAGAATTTTTGCCTTTATTCATACTGTCTGACTCTATAGCTGAGAAGAGAGTTAAAGTGCAGCAGGTATTTGTGTGTGTGTGTATCTTAGTAATTCTAGATCTTTCACTAATTTCTTCATAGTTGGCTGCTAGAAAAACAATCTCCACAGAAATACTGCTAAGCTGAATAGTGATCTGTACAACCTGATACAAAACTGCTGAGGAAGGTCCCCCATCAGTCACAAGAATCTATTTCTTCCGGGCTCAGACTACGTCTGGCCTTGTTAATAAATGTCTTTATCTGTGGCCTCTAAGAAATGCACTCCTGGTACATCTGATGAGCCTGTAGTACCCAGGATGGAGCAGACACTGCTGGCGTGTTTAGCAGCACTGGAGTCGCTGTTTCTTAGACTTCTGTCTGGAGATAGAGAAACAACATTTATGTGAGCTGTCACCTAGAAGCTGGAGAGGAGATGTGAATCCTGTGGTCTTAAGCAGCCACCATAGGTTTTCAGATACACTATTGACATGTTTCAGTTCAAGGACGCAGTGTGAGCCCTCCTGTGATTCTGTGATTCCTTACAGCATTTCTGGAAATCTAGTGAGACTGTAATTCAAAGGAAATTTAAAAGCCTTCAAAACACACAAGAGGCATTGGAGGATGGTGAGGTGGGAGTACCTTCCTGAAATTCTTCCAGTTATATGTGAGAAATCGTATGTATGTACATGTATTTAGCATAGCAATGGCCCCCCATTTTAAAGAAGTGATGTGCCAGTAAGAAGGTTATTTCACAAGTAAATACTTCTTTTACTGAATTAGGAGAGAGATGAAATAGCCTACAATCTCTAATAGTTTTTATTGTGTTCAGGAGCACTCCTAACCCACAGAAGCAATTGTCATTTTCTGTCCTGAGGCAATCAGACTTTGAAGACAGGTAAATTGCAGAAAGGTAATGAGGAAAAGAAATGAAAAAGTATTAATAAGTATTTTAACAGTAGTTTGATATAGGGTAAGTAATAAAAAAGGTAATTCTGCTGGAAAAGAAAAAAGCCGTATGATTACATCATAGAAGCAAGCTTCTAATAAACTGATTTTTATTTGTTCTTGTCATGATGATACTCTGTCCTGTCATGATTTCTTTTAGTATGAGACATCTGTAAGGTCTTAGATTTCAGCAAAGACTTATAAGATGAAGAGTAGAGAAAATTGGCCGATAAAAGGCTAAATCTCGAGAACCAAAAAGGACAGATTGTCACCAGGAATTTCCCTCATTTTTCTCTTTTACCACTTGCTAATTTCCTTTCCATTGTATAAATATGATCATATGAAAAGCTTATATAAAGCTACAAAATTGCAGCAGTATACACACTTCTTTAATAAAATATTAATGGAAAATGACAGCAGTGTAAATGCTTCACCTCAGAAATGGACTACATACCAAACATGTTTTCACCCGAGAACATTTGTGTGGCATATATCATTGAACCCAGATCTGTAGAAATCTTTCATTTTTGTGGGGTTTTCTGGGGTTTTTTAAGTCTTGCAAAAGATAGTTAACATTATGGAGGAGGTCAAAGTGTGAAATGACCAGATGTTTATTAAGTCTTTAACATTTTGTAATTGTAGTAAAAATTTTCTAAAACAATGAGTTTCATATGTAACATGAGCCTTTGGAGGACTTACTGGGAATCTGTGCATTAACACTCAAGCCAACAAGGCTTTATTCAGTGCTGGAGTGGGGATTGTACTTCTCTGATTAGTCAATTATTAGAGTTATTGATCAGTTCAGAGATTGTTGTTCTTTTTTCTCCTTTATTTGAGATCTGCTTCTTTGCTAAAGTAATGATGGTTGTGTGCTTCATTTTTTTTTAAACCATTTTTAAAGTAATACTGTGAAGGCACAATAACTGCAGTTTGCAGTTACATTATAAGTTGTGATCTTTATTTTCTTTACAAATATGTTTTAATATATATTAATTATATACAGCATTTGTACTCATCTGGTTTACTCCAGCTGTCTGCACTACCAACTTGAATGTTTAAAGAATTTATAAATCTGTGAGGTAGTCTGACTTATCATTCATTACTCTTAAAGAAGCAACTGAAAGATGTGCTCTTATTTAGAAGCTTTGAAGAAATAAAATGCTCATGAGTCATATTTTACTTACAAAGTGAGATATATAAACTCCAGTAATTTCTGATTGATTCTTTGGCAATTGTTTTGTTTATGTAGTTATGTTTATTATTGAAAATATTTATTTCATTATCTATTTATGAACTTATTATTAATTTCCTGGATACTCTAAAATATTGGAATATGTTTTTTTAAATCTTCCTATGCTTGAAACAAAACTGAAGGACAACAAAAGGAGTAGTGCCAGGTTTGTCTGTCAACTTGTGTGTTCCTGACTGCATTGCCATGGCAATTATTTCTTGTGACCCTGCCATCATTTTCCAATACTTAAATGTTTATATGCAGTCTCCTCAAATGACATAAGAAAACTTTCTTGCAGTGCCTGGGAGAAGAATGAGAGACAATAGTCACAAATTGAAAGAGGTAGCTTTCAGATGAAAAAGAAAAGAAATGGAAAACCAAAACAAAACTGAAATAAACACCAAAGGTTTTGAGGGTAATTAGGTATTAAAGCACATTCTCAACAAGGGTTATGGAGTCTCTGTTGTTGGATTGTTTTTCAAGACAACTGAATAAGCCTTAGGAAGCTTGAGTTTCATACTGACCCTGATCAGAGTAGGCAGCTGCAGCACATTAGATCCTGGGATTCTGCTTTGATTTGATGAAGCACCAGCATATTTTAGCAGCACAGGTAGCTATACATTGTGGTTATATGTATATATATGTATGCCCATTATGGAGCAAGAGCAACTGCACAGCATCTGCAGTTTTGCTTTCTCCAGCCACGTAAAATAAACTTTCTGGTTGTTTGTAAGAGTATAGAACAAGGAGAGGTTTGAAAAATACCTTGTTTATAATTTTTTTTTTGAGTTACATTGCATTATAATGACATCAGTGTGGTTTCTTATTCTTCGATTATGTAGAATAAGTCCATGAATAAAAAAGGATATAATTGTATAAAAGTATAATTATGGAAACCCTTATGAATTGTTTTCTAATTGTGAGGGAGCATAATAGGAAAGATTTGAAGCTGATATCCCTGCAGGGATATAGTTAATGTTTCTATTCTGCATTTTTGTAGCATTCTGCCAGTTGCTATGAACTGGTTTCTGTATTACATATTCACAGAAATGTAACTCTTGTTTTCAGTATTAGCGTCATTGCAATAGCCCTGTTGTGCGATTTACTGTATTTACACGAAAAAAGGCAAAAATTTATAGAATAGTCACCAGATCTTTCTGAGTTCATTTATCTTTTAAGAGCAGTTGCATAGGATGTGGTAGGTTTTATTTACGATCAGGTGAAAAGATGCATCTAAATCCCAAATATATTTAAAGAGTAAACTCCTATTTGCATGTACAGGTACCTTTTCACAGCGGTTTCTCTTCTGGTTTGCATAGGAATGCTTTCAGTTTATACTGCCAGCCCTACCTCACGCCATTGATCTTCTGCGCGATGCCATTGTAAAAGTAAAGGAGGTACACGATGAGCTTGAAGATCTACCTTCGCCACCACCTCCTCTTTCTCCTCCTCCAACCACCAGCCCTCACAAACAGACAGAAGACAAAGGAGTGCAGTGTGAGGAAGAGGAGGAAGAGAAGAAGGATAGCGGAGTTGCCTCAACAGAGGACAGTTCTTCTTCACATATAACAGCAGCAGCCATTGCAGCTAAGGTGAGTCTGGCTTCTTTCCTTAAGAGACCCTTTAGATCCTGTCTCAGGCATTTCCACCAATGTTCATTTGCAAGTTGTGACTCTACATTGATGTCTTCGTGTCAAATAGATTTATTTCGGGTGCATTTTGTAGAAGTAGAGCTTCATAAAAATACATGAATTTTTGTTTGGTAGATGATTTCAAATTCCAGTGGGAGAAATATCATTTATTATCTTGGTGTTAACATATGCTTTATGATATCATTCTGATGTGACAGACTGGTTTTAGTGGCTTTTTATAATTCAAAGTATTCACACGCCTGAACATGCAAAGTCCAGTAGGCGGCATGTTAAGGAATCACAACAAAACTTTGCAAGCCATAATATCTAATTTGAAATTAAAATTTTAGTTTCTGAAAGCCGGTAAAATTATGACAGACAGGTAAGAATTTAAGTAATGAACTATGCAGATTACTATATTCCAATATGCACGTCTGCATAAAAGATGTAAAATTCTGCCAATAAACTAAATATCCTAATGTCTTTATAGCCTTGCTTTAACCAGTAATCATAGATCAGCATTACTCAAACTTAAATAATAAATTGGAGACTGCAAAAGAGGAAAAATATGAACACTTGTAAATAATTCCAATTCAAATTTTAAATATTTTCTCAAGAATTATTGTACTATTTGAAGCAATATATAAATATTTATCTCAGTTTTATGTGTGCAGTTTTCTAATGGAAAGTAATGTATCCCTGTGTGTTTGGAAACAGTTTTTTCCAAACTGCTTTGTTCTCTATCTGCTCCACAAGTTGTGCTTTTAATTCCTATTGTGAGAATTGAAAGTAACTCAAAATTATATTAAACAATTTCTAAACCAAAGCAGCAACATTCTAACTCCAGAAATGTGAATTCAGGTCTGAGGCATCTTGACATTTCTAAGACAGCTGCAGCTGGAGATCATCTCCCAATATACAGAAAATCCTGATTACATATGTCTTTGCAGGGATGAATTAAGGTAATTATCATTTGCAAGTATCAGTTTTTATTAATGCAAATTTAAAATTGTTTAATTTCTTTTGATGCAGGCAAAGATAAATAATGTGTGCCATTTTTAAAGGCAGGAAATAATCTGAAATCTCAACTGGCTATGTTCTTATGAGCTTGGCATTTTGGTGTCACAGATGTTGTCACCTCATTCATTTTTGGTCATTTGCTTGTACAGTTTCACGTTTTCCTGTCACTGTATTCATGGCTGTTATGTGTTGTGCATTAGAAGCATCCATCCTATACCAGTCCAGCTGTTATCATGGCTAAAGATCAACAGCCCATCCCTGGTCTCATCAGTTATTGCCATCACACAGCAGGCAGTGCAGGAGAACTGGTAAGAGACATTTCCATGAGGCTTTTGCACTAATACTAACTAAAAATGTTCTGCCTGCCTCCTAGTCCATGTCTGAGCAGACAGTGTTACTTATTTTCTTCTAACAAAGACACATCGGTGCTATCTTTAAGAGCCCATGTTACCAAAAATATCTGTTTAAGATAAAGGGCTAAACAAGGTAAAGGTCATGTGTGTTGTCACTTTGAATCATTTATCTGCTGAGATATAATAATTGCTTAAAGCCTGTGTTTCTCATTAGTCATTGGTTTTATCATCTAATATACCAAAAAATTGAATATTATTAAAATAATCTCCTAAAATTACTGCTTTAGAGCTATGAAATGGTAGCATCTTCCTCTTTTGTCTTGTTTTGCTGCTTTTCTCTCAGTTTTCTTGTCAACATAATTCAGCATTTGCACTGGGTGTTCATAGTTTGTTTTCATCACTTGCAGTTTCTGCCTCATTTTTTTTTCCTATATAGAAGTAGAATTTCTCAAAAACAGAAGACTTTGGGAGTCAGGAAGCAGTAGACTTATAAATTATTGGGTTTTGGTGAATAATAGAAAATTATTTCAATGAATGGTAAAAAAAGACCTTTTCCCTTAGGTAAATAGTAATTTAATCCATCAATCAAATAGCCTGACACCTCTATATTTAAAACATGATTCTGTGTCTCTTGAAAAGTCACTTAGGAAATGTGAAGACTTTAAAGTTTACACACCTGATGATACAGCTATATTGTATGTATGCATACATACATATACATATTTATTGCAGTAGTTCTTTTTTTTTTTTGGAGTTGAGGTCACTAAACTAGAATTTGCACCATATTCCTCAGTATCAGTAGAACAGGTAATTTAGCCTCTATGAAGAACAGTGTTCAACTAGTATACATGTTTCTCTGTTCTTTTTCACATGACCCTGGAGCTATTGTTTTATGCATTCTATAATCTAAATCAGATCTTCAAACTCAGAGCAGAAAGTTTTTTGCAGATTATTGGGTTTTTTAAGCTGTCCTTTCTGTATGCTTTTAAGACATTTTTTTCTCCTGTATAACAGTCATAATAATTGCCATCTACAGGATGTTTTCTTACCTCACCATCATTGTTAATCTTTGTTTCAGTTCTGACCAAAAGAGAATAAAGAACTCACATATTTTCCTTTTTCTTATCAATGATCTTGTCAAAGTTCTCTAATATGAAAACACAAATATTTAAACCAAAATAAAAGTACACCAGAGAAAAGCTAGGTCAGATAAAAATCGTAGAAGCCATGACTGATGGATATGGTGAATATCTTTCTCTGTCACTTCATTCATTTCTCATTACTTTCTGTCTTTGTCAGTATGTTACAATGGGTTTTCCACTCCAGCTAGTGCAAACAGAAACTATTTTCACTAAGAACTAAGAGTTTCATTGTACCCCATTGAAAGTTTTGAGATCTTTGCTCTGTATTCAATTTATTTAAAACCGAAAAATGAATAAAAATATTAAGGAGACAAATCATAAATGCTCAGTGTGACTTAGTGAAAGTTAAAAGAACAGTCTATCCAAAATGCAGTAACATTCCTGCCCTTCTTTATTCCAGGTTTCTGTGCACCAAGGCACACAGAAATTTCTTATGGATTTATTAAACCCTTTAACAGAGTTAACAAGAAGTTGACTTGATTAGAGGCTTATATTGCCTAAATTTAATTTTTTTAATATTAAAATTCAAAAACTCTCTAAATGCAGGGGAGAAAAATGATAATTTTCCCATGCCACATTATATTTTTTATGTATTTATTTATTATATTTATTTGTTTCTGTTAATGGAATAAACATACTAGTAGATTCATAAAATTCAACAGGTTGTAGTGGTTCAAAGAGAATATTAGTGCTTACTTATTTAGCAATGCAACACATTCTGCTTTCATATTAGAAAAACAGCAAACTTTGTAACTGTGACCTAACTTTAGTCTCTCAGTGAGAAATTTTTTTCTACAATCTAGATAGGTTTAGATATGAATTATTTTCTGGTAATTGCATTTTCTGTAAAGGTGGTGATTTGGAAATAATTCTTATTGAAATTAAGTGTCTGTGATCATCTTCTTCCTTTTCTGATTAATATCATGGCTGAAATTTTACTTAAATTTTCCTTTTCTCAGAGGCAAAAATTAGTATTACAATGCAGTTCAGGGGAAACTGGGATTGTATCAGTCACTTTATTGCAGAGAGAGGTTTTTATTACAAAAAGGTGATATCAGACAAAATTGTATAAGCAATGATTGATCAATATGGTAGGGAATAAAAATGGTTTTTGCATGAAGCATATGAGACAGCATGAATAGAGTACCCAGAGTAAACCTAGAGAGAACTGAATCATGATATCCTTTCCAAAAGCAATGTTGTTATTCATGCTGTGGGCTCTAGGAGTACATAAAAGGGATAATGGACCCATGCACAGTCATATCAAGTTGTGTGCAGATTTTTATCAAAAGGAGAGAAAGGTATCTTATTTGAAGACTTAAAACTATTCTTTCTTCGATTTTGTCTTTTTTTTTATTTTATGCCCTTCTGAAAGTGTATTTTTTGCTGTATTTTCCTTAGGCATGGACATTAAAAAGAAGCATTGAAACTTGTAGGGAGTATCTATGCCAATATAAAACCTGGAGATTGTCATAATGAATTTAAGATGGGATTTCAGGAGAAAAAGTGAACAGAAGGGAAATCATGCTTCTGACTAAAAACCATTTGAGCATTTGGAATATCATTGATTCAGTTTACCTCTAAGATACATCTCTAAGATGTGATTTGCAAATCAGAATACTCCATGTAGAGGCCAGTTAGGCACTCTTTCTGAAGAGGCAGATATCCCCAGCATAGCTGTCCATAGTAAAAAGAAACTCTGCTGACTACAGAATTTGCAGTGGAAATTGTAGTGTGAGGTGCTTAGGCTTGAAAGATCCTCTGAGGAGAGCTGACAGAAACTGACTGGCAAAAAACAGCCTAAACACGTTAGAGCAGAAAGGAGGCAGTTGGTGGCACTCTGAAAACAAAATCTGTTTTCACTCAACTTAGAAACAAGTTGTAAACAAAAGAAACTCTCAATGTGAGGAGGAGGGTATATGATGAAATAAGATCCCCCAGGTACAACCCAGTATTTCTGAGTCAAGGTTGCTAAGTCAGATATAGTCATTATTTATAGAGGGGAATCATGGAAGTCAAGCAAGTGGGAAATGACATGTATTTAATGACACAAGTATTAAGATTTGTCATTTTAACTACACTGAGACAAGCTACAAAGCTCTCTTCATTTCTTAATAATAATAATGTTCTTAATAATGTAACAGCTATGTTACATGTAGATGTAGCCTATCTAAAAGCTAGAATTCAAGCTTGTTCCTGGAAGCCCTACCATCCAGTGGCTTCTATCTGCCCTAAAGTCTTAGTAGACAAGAATGCTCAAAATGCCTAGATGAAGACTGCGTAACAGCATCTCCATTTATTATAAAAATCCTGTCAGGAAATTCCCAACATTCATGATTTGGCTTGTCACTAGATCTTCCTTTCTTGCTTCCTTTTATTGTCTACTACTGCCACTTTCCCATACATGGGGGTTCTTCTGATGCCCCTCTTAGAACTTGAACATCAGGCTGAATGAAGAAATTCTTAATGAGGAGAAAGATCTTAAAATATGCATGTATATATATATTCCTTCAAAGATCTGAATGTCTACATTTTCTGGTTAGCTGTGATAGAATTTTCCCAGGATTTTCCCTCAGTGAAGCCATGATGGCTGTTTCAAATCACCTCCCTGTCCCCCATGTGCCTTAACAGGGCTTGCAGGAGGATCTGGTCCATGATTTTTCTGGGCACAGAACTGAGGCTGACAGGTCAGTAGTTCCCTGTTCTTCCTTTCTATCCTTTTCTAAGATGGATGCAATGTTCCTGACTTCCAGTCATCTGGGACTTCTCCTCACTGCCCTGACTTTCAATGCCATGGAGAGTGGTTTAGCAACTACACCAGCCAATTGGGATGCATCCCATCAGGTCCCATAGACATATGTACATTCAGGTTCTTCAGCTTCCTCAGGTGGTCATGAATCTGATCATCCCTTAGAGAGGCTTAATCATCCCTCTGGCTTAAGGTCCATCCATTCAAGAAGTATGGGAGGAGAAACTGCATTGAAGACATTGAAGAGGCAAAAAGTTGTTGATTGCCCCAGCCTTTTCCTCATCCATTGTTACCAGTTTGCCAGTTGTTAGTCAGGAGGGATATGCTTCCCTAACTGGCACTCTAATATATTATGGGGGAAGTAAAAAAAGACTGAATTTTTTTTCTCCCCCACAATGTATTTTAAAACAAGTGTTAGCTTAGGATGGTGGTTTCTAATGCTTTTGCCTTTACTTGCTCCAGAGAGACCTGTAGCTTTTGTAGCACAAGCCTTACATTGAGAATTTTTGTAGCTGAAATAAAGTCTTCATGGAATAAAGAGTATTTACTCACTGCATGATATTTCTCATGAGGAATTTTCTCACTGCATGACGTTTCTTTAGAAGGGATCAGTAAATTTCTAGCAAATGGTTTTCTTTTCAGAATATGCCCCCTAGTTAGTGAGTGGAAAGTCTACCTCTCTTTGTGCCGTGGTAGAAATCATCGTTGTCATCATTGGGTTTGAAACAAAGGTTTAAGAGGAAACCATTTTGTTATTATTTCCTGTTGTCATATGTTTGATTCATAGTTTTTTCAGGATAACTAGTATGCTCTGTGCTACTTCAGTTAGAATGTGACCTTATATATTTGTTAAGCATTTGTTACCAAAATTAGGAGAGTATGCCATTAACCATTACCAAGGGCTGAGTATGAGGAGGTGTGCAAACTGAAGAGTGGGGTATCCCTATGTTCTTGAGGTAAGGTTTTGAGTAAGTTTTACATACAATGTATTTTTTGCTATTAATTCCATCTCTCTCCTTTTTAAGATTCCAGATTCCATCATCTCTCGTGGTGTTCAAGTTCTCCCACGTGATACAGCCTCCCTCAGTACCACTCCTTCAGAATCTCCTCGTGCCCAAGCCACCTCTCGCCTCTCCACTGCATCCTGCCCAACACCAAAAGTAAGTGCATTTATGCCTTGCAAGCTCCATGCTCAGCCCTGTAATCTATCAGATAAATGTCTTGCCTCTGCTGAACAAGGTTGGTTCGCATGCAAGGGTTGTGTCATTCTACATAACAGATAAATGCAGGACAGTGTAGCTCGTTCCACGTGTACTGGTGCACAGTTTAACCTGTGGGCCCACCAACACCTTATGGTTACTGAAGTTTCATGTTATCTCTTGCAATACCAATCATGAATATGAAATGTTAGCACCTTGAATGTATTTAGTGTCCTTCAGTATCCCCGGGAACATAGATAATCCTGCTACTGAGTAACAACATTAAGCAAACTGTATTTTGTCAAAAAAATATTATGTGCAAATTTCTAGCCTGGGCTGGGGCAGATCTGTGCCCCACTTTATTGTTGTTTAGTTTAAGACTTGCAAGCCAACTGGTTTTGCTCAAACTTAGATATTTGCTGCCTGACATTAGGAAACAAAAACCACCCAAAATTTAATAGAAAGAAAGTTTTAATGCCAACCTTGTGGGATTATTATTCAGTTCTTAGTGATTAGACTATACCATTTAATCATTGAGGTGAACTCTACATGTCTACTTTTTATCAGGCTTTAAATAGCATACATCAAAAACTAAGCAAGTTGACCAGTGGCAAGGCCTGTAATGTTTACCTTCAGTGGAAGAAAACTGTTTGAATTTGCTTTGTGTGTTCACATCATAAAGATCTTTCTGTGGCACCAGATGCTGACATAATAATAAACCAGTAGCAGATGGCAAATAATAACATTCTTCCTTATCTAACTCATGATCCTTGAAGATTATTCTGCTTGCTAAAATGATTGCCAGCATCTGCTAGTTCTTCTCTCCTACTGTCTCATTCTTTTCTGTCAGTAAACAAGATTTATGGGCAATCACCCATGGAAATATTTTGGTTTAAACTATGGGATTGTTTTATGCAGTACTTACCTTCACTGTAATAGAATCAAAATTAATCTGATGGACAGCAAACGAGCTTCATTATGTAGTCTACTTTTCTTAATATTGTTCAGCAAATTCTATCTGTATGCATCTCCTTCACTTTTTTCCTAAAATTTGTATCTTGTCTGTTAGCTTAAAAATAAAAACATGGAGCTTTTTACATGACAAAGCTCAGAGAAGAAGAGTAAGTCAAAACTGAGAAATTGCACTGAGCCTTATGCCCGTTGATAAAACAAAATTTTCCAGAGAAAACCAAAGATGATTAGTAACAGGCATAAGTAAGAGACAGCTCTGCTGAAAATAGCTCTAGATGATACCTGTCTATTTTCAGGAAGTTTATCACAATTGGAAGTAGTAAAGCCTATCTGTTATGAAGCAGAATGCAGTTTTCTGGACTGTCTTGATAGATTATAGAAGGAATGTACTAGAAGTTTGAAACAAATTGAAAATCTGAAACCGTGATTGGGCAATTAGTGGAGATGAGCTCATTTCAAAATGAGATCATGCTTTGGTATTTCATGTTGAGACCTGCTTTTCATGTGTGAAAAAAATGAGGTTTTGTTCAAAATACGTGAGACCACACCACTTTCATAACAGGAGTTGGCATGCAACAGCCAGCTAGATGAGATTTTTCTGTGATGTATTTGATGGTGGTTTGTTACAAGCTGATATAGGGAAAAAATTTAAAAAACATACTGGAAAATAAACTTGACAAGTGATGGCATCTGTTCCTATTACTTAGAGGTTGGATTTTGCACGTAAGCGTCTTTACCACTTAGACAATTCTTGGTTCATTTCACTTATTGCTTTCAAAAAGACCAAGAAACTACTCATTATATTTTTGTTCAGTCATTTACAGTATCCTCAAGTTTTCAAACATCATCTGAATTTATCAAGAAATGTGATTCATTCAGATTCTTCAAGATTATCAATGTGTCTAAATGTCTTCAGTTGTTCTGGTTTTCATTCTGGATCCTGACTTTCTAATAATGCAATATGAATTAAATTTATACTGGCCTCTTCACCACACAATAATGAGAATAAAAGCAAATTGAACTTCAGGATCCAAGGTTGTTTATTTTGATTCTTTAATCTGGAAGTGTGTATCTTTTCAATGTGCTCATTTGCTGGGTTAGGAACTTATTTCAGGACTCCAAAACGTGCATATATGGCATGAAACAAAGAAGAGAAAGTGTCAGGGGAAAATCTTATTTCTTTGATTATGCTTATTTTTGGAGTGATGGTCTAGCCACAGAGCAAGTGGCACTATATTTCTTTGTCGACTGCATATTCCAGTATATTATGTTGTACCATTTTCTTGTTGCATTTTTTTGTCCTAAGTGTGAACATGAACCCTTACATCTCTCTTATTGAATTTGCTGAATAACACAAAGCTCTGTGTGTCTCAGGAAAAATAAAAAATCAAGCTTCTGCAATGACGGGAGCACCTCTGTTAAATGAATGTAAGTAGCAGGTTACTAATGCATGAGGATATTGGAGAAAAGGTATGGGAGAACACGTTACTAATGCTCCTGATTGATCTGTTAGGAGATTTTACCTTTTCATAATCATATTTTGGAAAACCTAATATTGTTTATGATACAACTAGATCATGTAGACACAACATTTAATTGCAAATTTGCTTTGCTGTTTACAACTTACCATCCATGTTTTCTGAAAATCTCTGTTTCTAACAAGGTACTAAACGATAAATATTGAGTTGTAACCTGGATATTTCAATCAGTCTACATAAATATAATTTCCTGGTAAAAGAAGTAATTTCTTGGGAGGTAGGAACTTTTCTTGGGAGGTAGGAACTTTTTAAAACAAATTGCCATTGGCACTACTCTGTGTCAGGGATTAGATACATCCCCAAGACTAAGCAAACCAGCTTTTGTTAGCTTTTAATAAACCTCTGTAGAAAACCTCTCTTGTTCTCTATAATTTTATTTGAGTTTCAAACAAAGTCAACCACTGTGCAAAGAGCATTTAAACCATATTTGTAGTAGATGGATTCACACAGAGAGGCAATCAAGTTTTACTCAGAGGAAAACTGCAATAGCAGTCCTCCCTTTTCAGCCATTCAGCCATGAAGTTTATAATGATTGTGACATATTTTTATCTTGTTCAATATAGTTCTGATTGTTTAAAAGTTTCACAGCTTTCTTAACATGATTTGGTGAATTTGCTGAATACTCATAGAAGCTTAGGATGATAAGCAGTGTGGCTTACAAGTTTTTCTTGTCATTCCAGTAGCTGCTCAGATTCTAAGATCTCACTATGTTTTTATCAGTGTTTGTGGTTGGCATTTTCATGAAGTAAAATGCAATGTTCTTTTCAGACAGTAGGGGTACCTAGATTAAAATACTTTTACAAATATGGAGAATTTTTTAAATATTTGCAATTAATGTTGAATCTTGGGGTTTTTTTAAGTTTACAGTATAAAACTTTTGATCTATAACTTCAGATAACTTAATATATCCAGAGCAAATGACTGAGTCATTATTTCAAACTTTGAATTTTGTTCTACTCTTAGGGAGTTCATATGAGTATAAAAGAAAATTGCAGTTTTCAAGTTGAAGTCTTCGCTTGTCCAATGCATAAATGATGTAATCAGTACTTAATTTTTGGCAATGTTGTGTGTCAAAGTAAAAGGAAGCAGATTTAAAAGACCAAGGACAGGTTTTTAATTATCGCCAGGAATTCATTTCAGTGATAAGAGATGTTCAAAGTATTTCACTTTGCAAGATCATCAGTCTTACTGATGTTCAGTTCTTTCATTTCGATGTGCAAAGTTTCTTCCGGTGTTATCTTTGATCATGAAGGATCCTAAGGAACTTGTTATAATGCTTTTAAGATGAGAGTGTAGGGTTTTTTCCATGTTGCTGCTTGATTCCCTTCACTCCTTACATTTTGCTTAAGAGAAAGTCTCTACTTGCTTGTGTTCTGTCCCTTCCCTAGCTATCCATTGTTTAGTTACACTGAACCAGACAAAACCCTCAGTAGTAAGTTAGATCCTTACATATTTGTAGTTGCAATAGATAACTTTTGATTCCTATGTAATGAAAGTCTATAGGCTCTATCTTACAGCTAAAATGAGCAAGCAAGGCTACTTTTCAGAATTTTTTCAAGTCTAGCAAAACAGTCATCTCACCTGTCCACTGCTCCATCCATTAACACCTTCTTTGTACCAGTACATTTAATTCTGCTAGTTGGTCACTTTCTGCTACTTTCTGTCTCCTATGACAAACTATTGTCTTTATCATTCATAAGTAGACATTCACCTAAAGACGTAATATTCCCAATGTAGAAAGACTGACACATGTAATTTATGTAAATGTTCCAGTTGCAGAGAAATTCTGAAATGAAATAGCCTAGAAAAATACTTTAAACTCTTTTTGAAAAAAAAAATGCTGATGAAAGTAGTTTCTGTGACTAAAAAAGCCTGATTATTTCAGTAATTTCTCGTGCTTGCTACTAATAAAAAATGATCTGTCATGATCCACCACTTTAATGTGAAATCTGTACATGGACATTCAGACAATCAAATGAGTTACAAATTAATACTAAATCTAATTAACATTTATGTTTTCAGTCTAGTACTTTTTCAACATAGAATTGCTATGTGAAGTAAGCACATTAGCAAATGGGAGCAGGTGGAATTGGAAAGATGGTTTTGTTGATTTTTGTTATTACAAACTTTTCAGTAGATATATTCAATATTTATCAGTAAAAGAAAAATCAGGTTCCTTACCAGAAATTCTTAGCTAATAATAAGATGCTGTTGAAAGTGTGTTTTACTAAACTGTATTTGTATCCACAGTCTAGATATTTTGTGTTCAAGTGCATAATATTTTTTTCTTCTTGAATCTTACTATTTTGTCTTAAGGTGGTCATCTAAGTGAAATATGTCAAATGTGTGAATGTATTTTAAAGTTTGAATGCATAAACTAAATTTTCAAGTGAATTTTGTTTCATTTTTCTTTATGAAGTTTGCATAAGCTGAAGTTTATTCTACCAGCTT